GGCAACAGCTCTACCTTATGCACTGCCCTTTCACTTGCTCCAGTACGGCTGTTTGATGGACTATACAGTGAACAAGGGAACTGATTTGGGTGGAGGATAATCCCCTTCTGTGCTTTATTCAGCAGATTATTTTTAACCAGTCTAGTTCACCGTGCAGCGTCCAAACAAGTCAGTGGGAGTCACTTAAGCCACCATTTGTGCAAAAAATCTCAAGCCACAATTATAACATATGTAACAAAGAGTAAAGTTTTATCATGTCCCTGGTTTTGCATAAGCTTGTCACAATATCTGACCTTGCAGGGGTGGGAAGGTTGTTACAAAATTGAAGAGGATGCTAACACTTAGCTTAGGCCTAGACAAAAGATATGGCAACTGTCTTTATGCTTTTTAATCTCTGGCAATCCATGTCGTGTATTTTTTTTGCTAATTGAAAATAGGCAGATACCAATCTCTTTGCATAGTTAGAGTATAATTTTGAAATTACACTCTGGGTAGATGGCCAAGCAATACTCTATCTTCAGCAGTGAAAAAAGGGAGTAGTAAGAAATTGCTGGGGTTTTTTATATTTGTTCTTTGAGGGAGTGGAAATCATTATATTTCTTTCAACAGAAGGTGAAAGAAAACCATCACAGGAAGCAGCTCTGAAAAAAGCAGCATAATGAAGGCTGTGACAAAACAGATGAGAAGCTTTTAGAATTGCTTTTGTTCCTGCTGCTTATCAACTTTTTTTTTACACAGCAGAAAAATAGAGCTTTTGTTATGACCTGGGAGTGTTATTTACGCATCCACCAGCCTCAGCTTCCTGTGCTCCTTCCTGCACTTATTCCTTTTAAAGAATAGATCTCAACTACCACAAAATCTGGAAGAATAAATAGTGTCTGTAAAACGCACATTACACCAGTTCATTGGCCGCTCCCAGGAAATGTTTTGATGTCTTCTGAAACCCTCATGGGAGGTTGATTAAGATGGAACTCAGTTGTATAGTAAAGTTTTCTGGGAAGGGATTAGGAGATACAAAATGAATGTGGACGATGTTCTCCCCTCTAAGCTTTTATTGTGTTTTACTTTCTCCCTAGATTCCTTAAGGACTATTGTGAAAGGGGATGCTTCTCTGACTTAGACCTCATTGATAATTTGGGACCATCCATGCTGCTTAGTGACCGGCTAACATTTCTTGGTAAGAAGGGCCTACAGTTTTCATTCTAGTCTGTTATTTAGAACACAGTTAACTCCACAGAATTATTTGGATTTGTCTCTTCCTCCATCTGGCTACATCCTATTTTAGTGATGAGGGGAAAGCAAATGATGGAAGGTGATTTGGGATGCAGCCTGCTTGCTACCAGGAGACTGCATTTCCAATTGCACTCACAGTAGGCATCTGTTCTGCACTGCTTTGAGCAGGATAGTCTTGAATTCTGACACTTGTAGGCTTCCCCTTTCTTAGTCTTTTTCCAGACTGTATGACTACCTAGAGAGACTCTGAAGTATTAGCAAACAATCTGGAAGACCTTAGGGGGCTTCCTTAGAAGAGTAAACTACTGGTTTAAGTTATTTTGACAATGTGATAATTTTACTAACTTCATAAAGTTCTCCGAAATCTCAACATCTTTTGTTGGTTCAGTGTGCTAATTTCAAGCTCGCTCAAACATAAGATCTCTCCTACCCTTTCACTATAGCAATTGTGCCAGGTAACAGTGGAGGGCCTCCAGCTAGTTTCCTTTACACACCGCAGCTTCCCTCTCCTGGCTGGCACAAGTATGAGCTGTGGTAACCTGCCCATCTGGCTGCAGCTGTTCTGTGGCCTTTGATTAATGGACCAAGAAGAAATTGAGCTAAAATGCACCCTTCTCTGGAGCTGTGGCAGTTAGCAAGCCCAATTACTGGGGCCAAAATCTAATAGGAATTTGGAATAGCTGTTGGCAATTGGACTGACTCCCTTCTGGCTGACACCAACATTACAGTGAGGGTGATCCTGAATTTGTTCTGTTCCCATTTCGTCCAAGCTTGCAAAACTGGAACTGTATTTCCTTCATTTAAACCTTATCCTAAATTAAGCCTAGAAGCTAACTGTGATTTACCAAATTGGTAATCCCTCATATCTCTGTATGCCCAGTGTCCCTTGCATGAGCCCCAAAGATTTGTAGTTTAATTGTGTAACTGTGTTTATAAACTGTGTTTATAGAGAAATTACCTCCCTTTCTGCTTTTTATAAAAAATCCTGAAAGGCCTGAAAATATTTCTGCTTGTTTTTCCTTTTGAGGTTTTAAAAACATCAGGTGTACTTTTGCTGGACAACTTCCATATGTCTCTATCTTGAGCTCAAGCATTAGTCAAAGGTGAATCTGAATGGGAATCATTACTTCCAGTATTTTGACAATTTAGTGGATACAAACAAAGTCACAGAATAAAACTCACTTTCATCCTCAGCCAGTTCTCACGTGCTGGATATTGATCTAACTAATTCTTAGTGGAAGCAGAACTTCCCACATTAACAAAGATCTCAGTTTCCATTTAAACAATCAGGAAGACAGTGAAGCCTCTCAGACCTCCTGATACTCTGTGATATCAAAAAGAACACTCACCCCCCCACCTCTCCCCTCCCGTTCCTGGTTTTTGCAGATGCCACCAATCTCTCTAAGCCACTCGTGCTGTTGCTCACCCTGCAACACTCAGCACCAGACGGTATCAGTCAGCGAACAGGCTGGTTCAAACAGTAAACCTTACCAAGAACAGTAACGGGTTTTTGGCTGCCTTTTCAGCCAGCCTCTATTTTAACCTTTCTTCATGCACAAGATCCCCATTCCCCCAGGCTCAGCTGCTTTGGAGACTCATTTCAGTTGGGGGTAGTTCTACCACAGGCTTCATGGGAGCAAACAGACCACCTACCATCCAGTAACCCAGGCCTGAGCAGGTCTGACAGACACTGACGCCTTTTACCCTTCACCAACACCCGTGTGTAGGGAAGTACCGAGAATTCCACCGGCTGTATGGGGAGAAGCGGTTCTCGGAAGCTGGCAAGTTGCTTTTGATGTTGATGACGGCTCACATTGCTCCTTGCTCCTTCTGGATGACCCTGCTGACAGATGCCCTTCCCCTGCTGGAGCAGAAAGAGGTGAGCAGGCTGGTCACACGAGACAAAGACCACCCCCAGCCTTTCTTTTCTTCCTGACAAGGCATCTCTAAGTGATGACCGCCTTTCTGCCCCCAGGCTAGGACTTGCACTTCCAGTGCAAAAGAACTGTTCGTGGCAGTTTCAGAATTGCACAGCTATCCAAGTGTCCCATCGGTGGGAGCACACAGGACCCAGGATAGGATAATCAACTCTCAACTTGGTTCCCTGCTTTTAGAAAACAGCAGTGGAATACTTATATGCTGATAATTTAAATGCACGCTGCATCCCGTTCCTTCTGGTACTCGGCTGGAAGATTTTTCTAGTGCGCTTCCTTCTTCTAAGCCCAATTTTTGCTTTAAGATCCATCAAGAAAATGGCAGTTTAGCAATTACAGACCCATGACTGGATAAAGCCCTGAGCACCCGCTCTGACCTCATAGCTGGCCCTGCTTTGCGCAGGATGTGGCACTAGAGACCTCCCAAAGTCACTTCCAGCTGAATTATCCTCTGATCCTGTGATTTAAAGGGTCAGAATGGATCTGTGGGAGTGTGAAAGCATTCTCTTCCTCTCAGTTGAGTTATCTTCTCAGACTGTGTGACGTCCTTAAACTTGATCATTTTCAGTAAATACTTTCATTTCCACAGGTCATATTTTCAGCAGAGCAGACTTACGAGTTGATGCGATGCCTGGAAGACCTGACAGCAGGGAAGTCGGATAAGCAGAAATTCCAGGTAGCTCCTGTTTTGAGGACAACTGGATAATGAATCGGTGGGGCTGTAGGGAGGGTTGGGGAAAGCAAACTCTAAATTTATATTCCTGCGTGGGGGCAGAAAAGAGGGAGAGCCTGAGTTACCGAGGCTGGTATGTGCTATTATTTTTAAAGGCCAGCCAAATGAGGCATCATCAAGAGATATTTAAGTATACGCAAAACCAATACAGGAGTGCTTCCGCTCCTCACTGTTCTGCTGATTTGGATTGGACTGTGATGCTTTTCCAAGACAAATAATTGCAAATTACATGGGCAATGAAAAGCTGAGATGCTGCCATCTAACAGCTCAAGCTATGAAACATTCCAGGCGCAGAACAGGGAGCCGTTTGCTCCACATGCAAACCTCTGCAGCTGCCAGAAAAAGAAAAGGCTTGGCAATGCTGTCTTGTGTTGATCTAAAAAGTAGGAAATGCAGCTTTTGCTCTTCTCAGGAGGTCCCTATGACAGGTAAATATATATGCACTCTTCCTCTTAATGACCTGCATCCTTACTTTCCAAAACTCAGAAAAAGAACCTATCACCAGCTCAGTACTGCATGTAGCAGTCTAACCCAAACTCCGCTCGCTTTTAGGATGATGACGTCGAGACTATGAAAGTGGAAATGCTGAGACTTGCTCTTGCACGAAATCTTGCACGAGTCATCGTCAAAGAAGGCACATTGGAAGGATCTTGAAGACAGCAGTATGTGATTTTACTCACCCTCTGTGGCTCACTGTACATAAACCTGACTGCTTTTCTAAGAATAAATGTCTTGTTTTGCATATTGCTTGGGGATTTGTTCTTGTCTTCTATAAACATAACTTAAAAAAAATTTGAAACATAACCTGTAAGAAAGAGCTGCATCAAAACGTTAAGGTTGCTTGTTCCAATGTGGTCTGGCAATCCTCCCCTGGTAAAGTAAACCTCATTACCAATGGCAACATTACCTTGGCTTCTTCAGTTGCTTTACTGCTAACACCCAGAACTGAAATTAAGCCCACCTTTTAAACCACTGAGGTTTTAGAAAACAGCAATTTCTCCGTTTTCGCTTAGTTTGGATGCTCTTGACATGAGTTTTAGGATTTCCAGACAGCACTGTACTGCACGAGCAGTCATTAGTAAGCGCTATCCACAGAGCAAAGTAGGGAAAACAATTTATTTAACATGCAGCAGAACAAATGCATTTGAGATGTGTATACAGTTACGGCTGTTCGATATCAAGCAGGAACCTCACCCTACAGACAAGGGACATTCATAGCTTAATTCCCAAAGCTTTTAACAATGCATTTCCACACAGCAAGACTACAGCATCTTTCCATTTGGCTGTACAGCGCAGGCAGTGCGCTGCCGTTAACACTGAGAACAAAGCCATTCTGCAGAAAGCACTTGTGCTCTTCTGACTTCCTCAAAGTCACAGTGAGATTCACGTGCAGGCATCAAAAGCAGTGAAACCTGCTTCCTCGGGACACACTACCATGACCTAAGCACTACCCCCATGCCTACTGTGTCTAAAGTGCTGGCAAGAACATGTCTGAGGCAGAAAGAATTCTCTCCTTGTCCCCTATCCTAGTCCATCAATTTAAAACTGTTTTCTTTAAGGATCCAAAGAACGTACCCATCCCTTTTGCCTGCCTTCTATGACAGGGGGCTGACAAGGCTGGGGTCTTCATGAGCTTCAGACCAGGGGTTTACAGCAAGTTCGTTGGCCAAGCTTTGATTCCACCTTCAGGGCTTCTACAACTGCCTGGTGCCTCTGATTAGGACCTCAGGCCTTTGAATCCACCGAGTTTTTCCACCTCTAGTGATTTTTACTTTGCAACATAGTAAAGAAAATTCAACTATAAATAACTCCAAGCTGCATTTGCAGTAATGGGTTTTACAGCCGCCATTAATTGCGGCAGCACTTTCTCCCCTGGAGTTTTCTTCCTACAACAGGCAAGGGTCTCCTCCTGGTGATTTTCTCAGCACTTGAGCTGGCTGCTCCCATTCATAGTTTGCTAAGAGCTGTTGCTTGACAGCACTGCTAGAAATACTGGGCTTAGCGTCCAAGGACCTGCCCTATCTGTGCTTTTGTCAATGAATGTTAAGAAAACCTGTTAATTTGAAACAGTCTGTCTCAAAGCTAGTTGAGGCACTGCTTGAGATTGGAAGTTGAGAGGGAGAAGGAAGGGACTGCTGGAGTCAAGTTCAAGTGATTTAAACCTAGTTTCTGTGAGAACGTAGCTGGAGGGGTCAGCTCTTCTGCCCCTGTTAGCGCAGAACACTGCTTTCCCCCCTTGTGGAGGCAATTGCACTTAGCCACTTAATACAGGGAACAAATAAAACAGGGCATTAAACCCAGCACATGCATCGTCACAGCCCAGTAGAGCCTTCTTGCCTTTCACTGTCTGCTTGTTTCTATTTAGATATCCTATAGCTCTATTAGTTACATCTTGTAAATGTACAAGAGGTACTCATCTCAGTGAAACACAGTATTCAACTACAATAATAATGCTGCCTGCATGAGGGGACATGAGAGGCATCTCTCCTTATCCCTGGATTCGGTCACTGCACCTGATTAGTGATTGTAAAGACATTTCTGCACTCCAGGTGCTGTCCTCCACCAATACTGACCGCTCCTTTCCAGCCCTGTTTACCTCCTCACTACACGTTTCCTCTCTTCCCCACACTATGGAATGCAATGAAGGCAGAAAAATAACCAGTGTAACCATTTGCATACAAAACTCAGCCCCAGCTGCCCAAAATGGATACAACAGGAAGGCAGCTAGCAGTATAAAATAAATATAACAACCAAAGATACAGCAGTGTCGCACAACACAGAGCGAGGGTCTGCTTACATTGGCCGTTGGGAATGAAGCAGCAGAGGGGAAGAAAGGGAGCTAAGTGCCATTTCAGTGTAAAAAATAAGCATTCCCTCATGGAGCCAGCATTATTGCTCAACATGCTTAGCAGGTCCGGTCTGGCACTGAGGAGGTAAAAGTCCGAGGGAGGGCATGGGTAAGGGCTCTGCACTGAGGAAGCTCACGGTGGCATCATTACCCCACCAGCCTGTAGTTATCTCGGGACAGCAGTACAGGAACAAGCCAACTAAATCCCCTTCTGCTGACAGGTCTCCCCTCAAAATACAGTAACTTCAAGTTTAATAGAGTGGAAGATAGAACCAGATTCACCCAGAGGTCAAGATAAAAGCAGCCAGCATTGCCTGTTACTGGCTGCCACTCAGTTCATGCTTGGCATAAATGTTCCAGGATCCCTTCAATGTGGGGCAAAACATTCTGGACTAAAGCTACAAGCAGAGTGGTCAGGACACGTAAACAAAGCTGAACATCACCAGTGGATAGCATGTGTGTCCCTCCCCATGTCACATTCATTCCAGTCCTGCGGGATCCTTTCCTGGTCCTGTCACAGAGTCTCTGGCAGTGTCCCAAGGTCATAGATTCCCCCACTGCTCTACCGGGGGAAACTGATCCACTTCGCCAACCTCTGTGCTGGGCTGGTCTCCCAGTGTGAAGGTCAGTCTGTATCTCAGCCTCACTTTCTCCTGCAGGAAAGACAAAACCCAAGAGCAACATGAGAACAGCCCCAGTTGCTCCTAAACAAAACATTTCACTGTTACAGCTCTACAGAGAACACAAGACTTCTGTTGCACATAGCAGGGGGAAGAGGGCCAAGGTTAAGTTCATGGAGTAATTCACCTATTTAGCAAACCTGAGTTATTTACCTTGCAGTTTTTATACCACAAAAGCTTTATTGCTTAGCATGGAACAGTAGGAGAAAAGCATGAATGACCTGTGATAATAGCTTGCACATACATGGCCAGCACCCATTGCTCAGCTGCTCTCCAGTGAGCCTAAAGAATGCTGCTGGAATAGTTCAACATTTTCAAAATTAAATTCCTCATCATGTGGAGGAAGATAAAACAGTTCCTGCTCTGCAAAATACCTAGTAAAACAGTAAGCAGGAGATGGAACCAGTCCTTCAATGAGGGGATCTCCATCTACCTCACAAGTTTTTCAACAATCCACCAAACCACTCCAACATTTATCCTTTTGGATCTCAAAGCTTTCAGCTGATACTTTAAGGACCCTTTTGCTGTAATTCTCAAGTAGTAACGTCTAGATTTGTCAAATAATTAGAAACTACTTCAGCATACAGCTTTGAGCTTTATGGAGCAGGCTACTTAAATAAGTAACTACAGCAGGGAAAAACAGCTACTCAGATGCTCCCAGCACGATCAGCAGAAAAGAAGGTGTTAACCACGTTGTTTCACTGGTCACAGGTACATCCTCAAAGAATAATGGCACAGACATGATCTGACATTTGTCTGTTGGTTCAGGTCTGTCAGGCTATAGCCTCAACACAGCAAAAGTATTTCTACAGCACCAGCTAATTTGACATCAATCTAATTATCACCAAAGCCAGGCACTTCCAGTGTACAAGGGAGTCAGACAAACTCCTGATACAGCTCCGATTGCTACCCTTTAAAGCTGAGTCTTACGTGACCACTGCCCTTTTGCTGGGAGAAATGTACAGGTCCTTCTCATACGTTCCCTTGCTGACAAGTCTGTTGGGGAAGAGCCTCCCTCTAGCCCTGAACTGAAACACCGTTATGCGGTAACCACCTCTGCAGGGCAAGTTAGGAACAATCAGCTGTATCTGCTCAAATGTTTGGTTCAACATCCCTGCAGAATTCAGCTTACATCAAATTTGTCCAACAAGGACAGGATAAATCCCACTGCCCCTCTCACCTTCGTAGGATTTGCCAGAAGCATGACTTGGGTGATGGCAGCAGGCGGCTGGATGGGATTGAATGGAGACAGCTCTGTGCCAGAGGGTGGTTGTAACTTCACTTTCATGGACTGCAAATGAAAAAGAAAGCAGAACCTCAGGATTATCTCCTACCTTGGGGACAAGGAAAGATGCATGCACAGGCTGGGGAGATAACAGCACACGTCCAAACCGAAGAGAACCAATCCACATGCGAGGACGAGGAAACAAGAGCCAGTCCAGCTTGTGCAACATGATAGGAACAGATAGACTGACAAGTCAGCCCAGAGTAAAAGCACTGGTCAGGTGAACACCAACAGCACCTTCCTATCTGAGTGCTCTTGTGTCAGAGGTTTTAATGCGAACACCTTCATGACAGTAGGCAGATCGTAGCTGAGACTGGGCCAGTTTTCAAAACACAAAACTGGCCATCCAAAATTATCTAGGTGCAGTAATATTAGAATGGAACATATTGTCAGATTTAGGATGTCTGTTAGAAATTCTGGTTCTAAAGACCTCAAGGGTGGCTCTATCCATGTAACAGTCCTGTCATTTTGCTACCTGAGCCGCTTTCATGAACAGACGCAGCTGGATTGATCTTAGATAGCAAGAAAAATAGAACACTAACTACCTGTAGTTCTTGACTTATCCTATTTAGTGTTTTCTGCCTCTGACAACCACCTTTATGTTTTGGAAACAGGCAGAGCACAGCCTATAGAAAGGTAGAACCAGGCTGTCCCAAGTCCCTGAGTTCATACCCGGGCCCTCCTGAATCCACATTTTCATGTCTCTGTGGGTCTGAGCCATGCATCCCTACCTTCGGCACAGCAGCCTGCAGAACGATGTTCTTCACAGGAAGTGGTGCCGTGTTCAGCATTGAGACTACCACGACTAGCACATCCGACCTTCCCGGTGGGCACTCCCTGGCAAAGTGCAAGAGGATCCGGAAGCCGTTCTTGTCATAGGCTGTCACCGGGAGGGCACTGCCTACCGCAGAGAGAGAAGGGGAGGGGAATGCAGGTTTATGCTGCAGAAGACGATCTGTAGCAGCATTAGGCAATCTGACTGTTCAGCTGGGACATCTCATCCTTTCTCTCTACTTCATAAGCTTTGTCAAGAAGCTTTGCTTTTAAAAAAAGTTCAGAGAAAGGTGAAAAACCTGAGATACTTACTGGGTTTAATGGATTCCAGAGGAACATGGACATTGGCCAAAGAAATTTCAGGTGCTTTCATGGGACTACCTTGCTGCTGGAATGATGCTGGCTGGAAGAGAGGACTTCCTGAGCCAGCAGTGCAGCTGCTTGGGAAAGGAACTGGAGGGGCTCCAGGGGCAGTGGCTGGCAGCCCTGCAGGTGCTATTAACGGGGCAGAGGTGACAGTGGTAGGCAAAGTAACCCCAGGGAACAACAAAGGTGTCGCCATGCCTTGGGTGGCAGTCCTGGAAGAGAGACAGAAAAAACATGGGAAATTGAGCTGCAAGTGAAGCCGGCATTTCACCACAAACCCAGAGATAACAGCAGATCACGAGGACAAAGCAGTGACCCGGAGCCAGATTGGAGTGTGTGACTCATTATGGTCTCATGTTAAGAAGGAGAGCTACAAGGAAAGTGGTGGTGGTAGGGTTAGGCATCACTTCTCTAAGTCAAGAAGGAAGCAGAGTTCCACCTTGGCAAAGGTGGGCAAGGCTAAGATGGGCAAAGGCCTCTGTACCTAAGCAGCCTGTTCAACTTTACACCACACGTTTGTATCAGGCAACAGTACAGTTGTGCTCTACCTAGTAGTGCCTGCCTTTCCCTCCCAGAGGTGGACCCTCATATTAGTTTGTAAACTGAAACCCTCTGAGAAGAAAAAATCCCAATCACACATTTCTACCAAACCAGACAGTTGAACGTCTGCCTCTGAACCTGATGCTGCAGCAAGCTTGGCTTTCTAACTGCAGAGACAAAGCAAAGTCCAGGACTTTTGGTTACCCTTTGGCTTCTTCAAGGAGTTGTCCCAATGCATCCATCTTATGTGACACATTGCTCCCCACAGATGAGCTGAAGTATCCAGGAGCAGCTGGAATAGTCTTAGGAGGCCCTGCAGGGGCAGCCGGTACAGCAGAGAATACAAATGGTGCCGAGTTTGGTGCTGGGATGCTGGGAGCAGTCTGAGAGGCTGTGAAAGCAGAGGGCAGCGTCACTGACGTTCCACACGTGGTCTGTGATGTGTGATGGAGAAGAGGGTTCCCTGCAGGGTTGCAAGCAACAGTCACCATCTTCGGATTAAAGAAATCCAGGTCCAACTGGTCATTCTGAAAGACAGGACAAGTAGATGCTCTAACTCACTGCTACCCCCTGTTGTAGAGATGGCACTGTTACAGAGGGAGATAGATTTACCGCAAAAACAGGTGCTGGGTGGCAAGCAGCAAAGTCTGTGGCCTATGTCAGGACTACATCTGATCTGTAATTTAAGCAAAGGAAGTGCTAACATCACGGGGGACAGATGGGAAACTGAGAAAGCCAGGTTCAGAGATATCTACTCTGTTCAGATGCAGCTATCCCAGATCTTAGCCAGACTTCCCCTCAGGAACAACAGCCCCTCTGCCTGTGTGTGTGATCACGTTTCTCCAAGGTGACAGAGTGTGTCCCAAGACATCTCACAATGACAGCCCCTCCCTCCCCATCCCCTGAGACCCTCCTTTGTACCTCAAACATGCTCCACTGGTTGCTTTCTGATGTCTCCTTCACTGCTGTAGGGGCCGGGTCATTCAGGCCTGAAAGGAAAAACAACAAGTAGGTGACTGGAGGAGAAAATTAGTTAGGTGTCATCCCTTGGCAGTTGTTTCAGTACCATCAGACTACTTGATTCAGCTCTGCCAGAGCCCAAGAACCTGATGAAAGACCGAAATGGGCTGCAATTCTATGATGAGGAAAAGAGACTGACAGCACCAGTAGCTGACAGTCACCCCCTGCACACAGCTCTTCTAACCCTTCCTCATTTGCAGTGTCTTCTGCTGTTCATATCTGGGCTCCACAGGCAGGCATTCTGCAGGCTCCTATACATAAGCCCTCTAAGGCACCTTGCTCTTTAGCACAGCCACAAAGTCAGGGGTGAAATCTGTACCAAACTGCAGCCTGCATGTCCAAGCATCTACAGAGATCAGACTGCAATTACACTCAACTGTTACTTCACTTGCAGCCTACTCTGGGAAGATCAGAGTTTTTAATACTGACTCACTGACCAGGGCTTGTATTCAGGATGATTCAAGGGAGTGTCCCCTGGCCTTCTCTAGAAACCAGAGGCATCTCATGCTCCTTTTAGACATGCCACATGCGTGCCAGCCCTCACACTCACGCTGAAGGAAGAAAGCAGTCTTTGTTAGGCATGGATTGAGTAGCCCTTTTCTGGGCCCCTCAGTGTCGTACCTAAGCACAGAAGCTCCTCATCCAGCAAGGAGATGGAGTTGGCCGTGCTGCTCTGCTGAGCGGGTGCGGCTTCCACTTGGCTAGAGGAACTGCTCCGCAACTGTGCAAACGTCTGAGGAGGAGGCGGGAGAATGGGGATTTCTGCTGGGGCTGGGGCTACTGTGGGGGCTGGTGTCAGGGTGGTAGGTGGCATTGGAGGTGGCGGGGTGCTAGTGACGTCCAATCCAGCAAGGTCAATGAGGGTGTTGAGATTACTTGTGGAGTTACTCCCTGCAGCGGACAGGAGAAGAGCACTACTAGGAAAGAAGGCAAAAGGCTCAGAGCAAACCCAATGTACAGAAGAAATTATCAGAGAGATGGTTTAGATAACACAGATCCTCATTTAATCACGGCTTACGGCTCTTTAGAACAGAGAAATCCCACATGCTTTCCACCTAACCATTTGCTGTCCACAAGCTAATTAAATCAACCCAGATACTTAGGAAATTTCTATCTGAAAAGCAACATCTGCTCCAGACACTGCTCTTTCCCCAGTGCTTCTTGTAGCATAATTCATAGTCTTTTCAAAATCTTTTGAGCTCAGATAAGGCTTTTGGAGATCCTACAGAATTACAATAAACAAAGGCTACCAGAGAGCTAGAGCTGAGGCAAATTCATACTGTCTGGATCTAGAATTCCCTTCATATTTAGGACAGTCTTGTCCCAATAAGATGCTGTCAGGCAGCATTATGCATTCCTCTACTGCTCTCCATGCAGAAATGTGTAAGTGACTCCCAAATGGTAATTCTGCCACACACACGTCCAGAGTTTTCAATGGTGAAACTGAAGTGTAAAATGGGTGACTGGCCTAAATTCACAAATGGAATTGCTGGCAAAGCCAGGACCACTGGCCTGGCTCCCACTCTCCTGCTATCGTCCTTTCGATAAAATCGTCCCCTTCTTATATGTCACCATTAAGAAACAGGACAAATGTGAAGAAGAAAATGTATGAGAATTTCCAGCCACACAAACTGTTCAGATGCAGGTTTGAAATCTTTGATAACATCAGTAGCAATAATATGGAATGAGCAATGGAAATTGCAAAGCAGCACTGTTGCTCATGTCCAGAATTGTCTGTCCACTGCTTAGGAGCTGTCTTGTCCCCCTCTGATTCACAAACTGTTGGCCACAAGAACAACCAATAGCCTACTTCACCACAACTAATAGGAAACCCCGTCCAAAACACTTAGAATTGCAGGATTCAAAATTAAACAGTTGGCTTCCCAGGAACTCACCTTCCACTACAGATATGACAGGGAGATCCACTTCACCATTGATCACTTGCCCCTCTATTATTTTTTTATAGGAATTTATCACACGGGATAAATTGTCACTGGCCTGCAGAATATCCCCTACATGCAAGAGAGAAAAACGACCTCCAAGACTTTAGTAACTCTGCTCCCACTAATGCTGACAGTACTCAGTTATCAACTAAATAATTGACATGAAAAAACGTAATTATTTGGCTATAAGCTCCATTACTCTCTGTCTTTGCCATGCTTCTCTAAGCAATACCCTGACCTTTCTAGGTCCATGCACATTACAGTAACAATGAAAAAATGAGTCCAAGGCTTTGTTCCCCACAGCAACTCCCTTCCCCTTCCAAAGCAGCAGCTGTCCCCCATTATCGCCCCCAGCCTCCCTAACCACCAACTCTACTGTCAAGTCCTTGCCTGAATTTAAATAAGTGTAAAGAGGCAAGGATCTTGTCTTTTATCTGCTTGCTCAAAGCGAAGCGCATTCACAGTGAAGAGGCATCTTTACAGCAGCCATTCCCTTGCTGAACCCTTGTGCAGTCACAGGTCACAAAAGCAATTGAAAAAGGAGAAGTGTAGCTTCGTTTACCCAAACTGCTGTCATTATCCTCTGTCTCACTGGCCAGCTTGAATAATGTCCGTCTTTTGGTTTCACACCTTTCATAGAGCTCCTAGGAAGACAGATTAGAGCAAAGGGTTTCATCAGCCCAGGAGCCACTGTCAGCAATACCAGTCGGCACAGAATGACTCCCCAGGCATGCATTGGAAAGCCCAGAATAGAGAAACCAGTCTCACTGTGCTGAACGTGCCAGTGTGGCTGGACAACCAAAATCCCCTGTGTCTGCCCTAGTAACAGAGCTGTGAAGCCTGGGAGTCTAAGCACAACCTGCATTTTCAACACAACATCTCTCAGTCCTCCCTCACATCAGCACTTATAGCCAGCTCCAGTCCAAAAGAGATGTTTGTTCCTTGTATTACAGTAGTCCCTAAAAGTCCGAGGAAGAGCAGAATTGTGCTTCAACAATTATGCTTCAATTGTGCTGCAACCACTACTTGGAGAGTCTGCAACCACGCAGAAGAAAGGTGGCAAGAAGGAAATGTTTCACAGAAACAAACCAGTTTCTTAAGCTTCTTACCATCGTTTCAGGAGCTTGCTGTTAAAAATGAGTAGTTTTAGCTTTCTAAATTAGATAAGGTGCAACTCTTCAAGGCCCTGGGCCTATCCAACCATCCCCGATGGCTGTTTTGATTTTTACCTTCTTGATGTTCTCCCAACCTTCTAACACTAGCTAAAACTCCTCCTTTGAAGGGGAGGACATATTTTCTGCCCCATTCAGCCTTTAGTTTATCCATTCACAGTGCTGTAAGGGGCAGTTATGATCTGCAATCAGCATGTCCTAATAGAAACAAGAATTACAAACTGCAGCTTCTTGATTCTGCCACGCTGCATCTTTGGAGAACAGCTGTACCTCACTTCAAGCACGTGCAAAACCGAGCTATTACCCACTGAGTCCTTTGGTGAAAGGCGTTTAAAAACATGGTTATTTTCTTTCCTGCTGTTTCCAACAACTGCTCTTGTTTCTCGCCATTGCTCTCCATTTTACTGCACTGTTATACTCTGCAAAACTCAAGCCTGTAAGAAGAAAGGACTGACTTCAGGATTTCTGGGAAGAAGGAGCAGCTCAGACTCACCTTCATGAGCTCCCTATCGGCCTCTGATGAGTCCTCTTTGCTGTAATGAACCAACATCTCATTCAGCAGTTTCACATTGTTATTTACTTCCTCCAGCGTGTGCATGCGTTTTGTCACTTTTTGAATCCGAGCCTCATCCTTCAGGGTGTAAAACAAAGACATAAAAAGTGAGTTTCCCTGTAAAGGTCCACGGTATCGCAACAGCAGGTATTATCTGTAAATCATGTCAAGTAATGTCTATTTAAGGTTAAGCTAGGGAAAAAAACCCACCACACCTTTCCATTCATGTGAAGCTTTGCTTATTTTATTATCTTTTCACCACCATTCTGAAATGATAGAAAACCCCGTATTTCCAAAAAGTCTCATTAAATAGACTTTAATATATAATTATACCACTAAAAGTAGAAAAGTTCCCAAAAGTTCCTTTCTGACCTTTTCAGAAGATTTTTTTTTTTTTGTCACGATGCCATTTTACAAAAAAGATGTGTTTGAAGCAAAACATTTACTAGGAACAACAAGCACTCTCTGGCAGAAAATGTCCACCCATCTCTGATTTGAGATTCCAACTAAAGGTGTAGAAGAGTTTGCCGTGGGGACAAAAGAATCTTGAACGGAAACATTTCAGTAACCTATACATCCTCTTCAGTCTAGAAGCTATCCTTTTTTTTTTTTTTCCCCCAGAATCACAGTGAGTCATTTCCTGGACTCCAGAGTTTCTAATGACTGCCATGGGTGGATGCATCACAGCTCTACAAACAGGAAGGTGTTTCCATGAAGCCTGCTTGTGAGAAGACCCAGTCCAACGACTCAGTCCTCAGTATCCAGGGGTGGTACTGCGATGCTCCCACCAAACCCTGATGTGAAATACCATCTCGAGTGATGAGAACATAGTTAATTACAACAAGGGGCATTCAATCCTTGCCCCTTCTTGCCCTGTCCTCTACCAGAGACACCAACTGTAGACATTTTTGTGATACAAACATCTCCCAGTTGCGAGCTAGAGTCAAAATTACAACACATTCCTATCACACAGAGCCCTACTAAGTCATCAGATGGCACCCCCTTTATGCCGGTAACCATGGGGACTAGATGCAAGTTAGCACTGTTAGAGGTTTTAAAAAATAATAAAAGGCTGGATGTCGCTGATGGTCAGTCTCGTTCAGTCCCCACAACTTAACAAAGGAATGTACTAACACAACGCTCCTGGAGCCTGAAAAACCCAGGTTCTGCCATTCACATGATCCTAAAGCTCTCCACCATTTTGAAGTCAAATTGCTTAAAACCTGCAAAGCAGACTGCTGACTGGGACCAATCCTACAAGAATTTCTTACCTCTTTTACCATGGATTTTATAAGCTTGTTGGCCTCTTGTAAGTCATCTGGGTTTTTGCTTTTCAGCAGTTTGGCTAGAAGCTGTAAGACGAGAAGACGATATTCAGGAAACAAATAAAAACCCTTTGGCAAAAGGAAGCGGCAAAAGGAATCTAAGTGAGCAATTCAGGGGAAAAGATACAGCCCACTATTACAAAGCTTACACTGCTTTCATAGTTACAGTGACTTCAGCAGGCGTCATTTATGGTTTATTATTTTATGTGAGTTGCTGCATTCTTGCTTCTACACAGGACATATACTGTGAAATCTCAGAGACTTCTGACACTAGAGAATTATTCCTCCCATACATCTTTTTTGCTCCTGTGTGTGAAATGTTCTCTGCCTTCTAGTACTACAGCAGGATGGCACTTTAACCAGGAATAACCTCATAATGGTAACACAGACAAGGCCTTAACTGGAACTTCAGGTTAGGTAGGTAGACAAAGCAATGAGTTCTGTGAAAGTACACACCACCACCCCAAAAATAAAAGCTGAATTAGTATACTTTACTTCCTTATTCTAAATGTGCATTGAATAATCACTTTTCATTAGTGATTACGATACAAGTCTTCACTGTACCTTGGATTTCTCCTCATCATCAAACACAGGGTTTTTGGGACGAGGTGGTGGAGAAGGAATCAGGGTTCTGTCTGCAGGAATCACAGGATCAAACATAATGATCCCTGAAAGCAGAAAGGGAACCCACGTGGGTTTGCACATGCAGTCACACCAGGCAGTGCACCCAGTTATTCACAGGCTGCTATCAAAGTGAACACGCAGCTAATCTGTCCATTGATACTAGCACACTGTTCTAATGAACAATATAGGATCAAAATCACTGAGCATGCTAGCTGGAAAAACAGTTTTCTTTGATGAAGGCCAAAACCCCAGCAAATGTGTTGCCACGTCCATATTGCTCCTCTAATAGCTCAGTATAATCAATAGCTCTCCACTATTTGTCTTTCCCCCTTTCACTTTAGCTGTTGAACCACTGAGTGAAGTCCCAGACAACCCAGCTTTGTGCAAACTCAAGGGCATGACATTTGTTTGTATAAATGAGCTGAGCAGGAAAGCGGACAGCAATGCAAAATGGGATGATGAGCAGACTCCTAACCACAAGAGCTAAGCTCCCTGCTTGTTCCATTGTCAAATACTTAGATTTGTGCTCTACCTCAAGAGCTTTCCTGGAACCAATTTTTGTTGTGTTGAAGCCGCATGCTTCTCAGCTGAGCTTTTTTCTTGTGCCTACACAAGAAATTTGTATCAGTTGAACTAAAGGTACAATTGTAAAGCGATCTAGTTAAAAGAACACAAAGGCTACATGGAGGCTCTTATTTCACTTTAAATTAGACTTGTTCAAACCATTTAATAACTAGTTCCAGAAAAACTCAAAAAAGGCTCTGCAAACCAAAACAAAAGCATTTGCAAGGTGTTTAACTAATCTAGTTAAAAAAGCCAACCCAACCCAGCCCAAGGCATTTAAATATAATGAGAAGCTTTTCAGGGAATTTCTCCCTTGTTCTATCTCCCCTCAGAGCTTGCCTTGACCCCATGTAATTAGAAGCTGTATATTTTGTGACACTCCTGCTTAAAGCACAAGCTGGAGAGAATGCATGAACGAGCAGCTGACTTCCTACCTTGTCGCTTCAGCATGTAGTAGGCATCCTTGATTTTGGATTCTTCTGGCAATGCCACTGTCCAGCTATACAGCAATTCAATGACTTTGGTCTTCACCTTCTCTGAGACTCGGTCTCCCAGGTACTAAGAGTGGAAAAAGGATGTAAATTCTCCACATCTTCATTTCTTTTTAAAAATAAAGCCCAAACCCCAAGAATGGAAGTTCAGTGATATACATTAAAAGGTGTATAATCCAAATTCCAAGATGATCTAAGATACATCTTATTATGAGAAAAAAATGTTCCTCTAATATATTTGAAACAACAGTGAAAAGAAGCTTTATGGTTATCTTCAGCAAAAGAAAAATTCTGTTGGTTTCAGGATTTTGCTATTTAAAAATTACAGTAATACAGATAACCACCCCCTCCCCTGTCTTACGGGAAAGAATCTGGGAATACTTTGCTGCATCAATCATGCCATGGGGTGCCTCTGTCTATTTTTTGCCATGTTAAACTGATCATGAATGTTGAGGGACTTAGCCGGGCACTCTTTACACAGCAAGTCGGCAGCAGAGTGAGCACTAGAACTCTATGGCGTGTTGCCAAGTCTCTTGTTTTAACCTCTGCATCACACGTCTCTTCCACTGATGCTGGAGTTTTGTTTGTTTTTAAAAAAAACCACAGCCCAAGCTTTAGAAGCCCTTGAGTTACATAAAGAATTAGAACAGTACAGAGGCTATATACTGATGGTAAATAAGTACAACTTACTGAGAAAAACAGTAAGCAGAGCATAAAAAAACCCACAAAAAACCCACAAACAACTTAGCTAACGAATGCTCTTGAATATAGGCTAATAAATGCAATGAGGCAGACAGAGCACTGCAAACATTTTGGATGTTGCCTGTAGCTTACGGAGGCCAAACAAGAGTAAATACAGCCATAAGGCTCAGGGACTAACCTTTGGAGACACAACTTTTATTAACTCATTTAAAAAGCGAAACTTCCCTACTTCATTATGAAATCTTCTCCCACAGTTCTTCATACAAGCTTCTAGCACCTGCATTCAAATAACAAAAACAGGGGCTGAAATAAACACCAAAACCCTACAATAACAGCATAGCTGTGTTCTGCTTATAGGGGAACTGAAGGACCCATGTCAGTGAGACACGTATTCCTGCTCTGCAATACACGCATGAATCTGATCTTTACAGGTGACACATCAAGACAGGCTGGTCTCCCACCCTCAGCTATGTATATATGGGTCTAAGTTATCTCACCATTAGGTCTCATAACAATGAACAAAAATCTTACCTGAAGATAACAAACAAAAGCAGCTGAAACTAAACCAGAGTTATTTCTGACTGCTCTATTGCTAATGAGCAATCTGGACACTTCAGTTGTGTAACCGTGCTCCCTCTCACTGTCCACTCCCTCCCAACAGAGGGGAATCAGGGCATTCAGTCCCAGTACTCACCCCAGCTAACTCCACTGACACACACTGTGCTCCCCTTATACTCTGCACAGATGACGTAAAATGATATATAACTGGATTTAAGAGGAGGGGTAAGGACTACCTACTGTCAAGGCTTGGACTGCCTCCCATTCCTGTGGTGACTGGATTTTATGAGCCAGGAGTCTCACAGCTATCTGTGGCCTGAAACAAAGTAGATCCCCATTACAAACAAAGCAGGCGAACACGTTGAAGGATTTTCAGACTTTCACAAATTCTGCTGTTTAAACGAGATGTCTTTCACATAATTAAAAGGAAATGCCATTTCATACTTTTTATCTTTCCATCAGTGTACAAAGGCTAACAAGAAATGCTCGGGGCATCTTTTTAAGCCTGGGTGTTTGCACATATGAAAGGAAGTGAGGGCTGGTAGTCTGAGCCAGCAATTCCAGATTCCTCCTTGGGAGGGGCCAAACAAGTCCCAGTACAGTCCCCAGCCCAGGAAATCACTTCATTTCTCTTGTATTAGTTTCCCTTTTCCAGAAGAAAACACTTCTTCCTTAGCTCACAGAAATGCTGTGACCCAGGAGGTTTCCTCAGTTAAGCCTTGTAAAGATTTTAAAGATGTGAAGCCCCATCAGGCACTAAACATTATAACCCCATTTTACAGACTGGCAAACAGAATAACTTTGGCTAGATGAGAACACTGCAGCTGCAGAAGCTGACATTAGAGGCACATTCAGAATTCCCATTTTCCTAGTGCTCAGTCTGTGTATAAGCCATGCTGCCTTTCACAGAAGAGAAACCACACTTCACAGCACCTTGTCTCGTTTGTAGCGAGATCTTCCTTGCAATATCAGTATATATAAAAGAAAACATGAAAGTTTGATCATCAAATGATATATTTTAAACTGTGAATGTTAATTTCTTAAGTCTAGAGCAGTTTGGGACACCCACCCTTCAAGTTCTTTGTTGATCTGGTCACAGAATCCGATGATGTATTCCCAGTCTTCTTGCCTGTTAGATGGGTTAGTGGCTTTATCTTTGGTAAGGGAAAGAAACAGTATAAAAGGTCATGTATTTCCTAGAGAAAAGCACTTGACATCCATTGCCAACTATAAAAAAGAAGAAAGAAGTTCACACATGGTATATCTGTTCAGAGAAAAGGGTGTGTCCAAGTTGAGACATCCAAATATCCAGCAAGAATCACTGCTTTCCAAAAAAACAGGTGCCAAATCTCAAGTACTTAGAAACACGCTATTTCCATACTCTAAGTGAGAGTACAAGATAAAATATTTGAGTTCACAGATTCCCTCTGCCTGAAATGCTCTCTCTTTCTATTTGGCTATAACATTAAACTCCTTAAAGGCTAAACCCTCACACTTTCTACATAGGAAATTATTTTTGTATTCCCTGGGAGTTTTGTAGAAGTAAGAGCTGGAACATCAGATGTTTAATATGTCATTTAGCTTAACACTTGTTTTTAGAGTGCCAGCTGATTTGTTAGATGCCTTAGCATTTCTCCTGGGAATTATGAACTGAAATGTTTTATTATACTCTCCTTAAAGGCTAAACCCTCACACTTTCTACATAGGAAATTATTTTTGTATTCCCTGGGAGTTTTGTAGAAGTAAGAGCTGGAACATCAGATGTTTAATATGTCATTTAGCTTAACACTTGTTTTTAGAGTGCCAGCTGATTTGTTAGATGCCTTAGCATTTCTCCTGGGAATTATGAACTGAAATGTTTTATTATACTTTGAGTTGTTCTTGAAAGTAATAAACACCACAGCCTGTACCTGATCAGGAATTCAAATCCTATATGCTCAAACGGAGAGACCAATGCTCTACTGACTGGGCTATTTCAGGCTCGTGAAAGATCCTCCCTCGGGCACCAGGACCTCACTTATTGTACTGACTGCAGAATACTGAGGCTATCAGCAACTTTTTTTTTGTTATGAATGCATCTTCTCCATGTATTCTACTTAACTCTGATGGAGCACTGAATTTACAGTAGACAAGATTCCTGCTTTAACCTAATTTTCCAGCCAAGATGACTGGACACGGTGATTTTTCTTTCTTGTAAGGGAAGAAACAACACACTGTAGCTATATATCTAAGGGCTGGCATTTAAGAAGCCTTCCTCAAAATTTTAATACAATGGAAATAGATACAGAAAAGAAAATATTGCTTAGCCAGATAGTATAGAGCAGGGAAAGAAGGACAGGAAAAAAACCAGCACGCATCCCTGTACTTTCATCACGGAGGGAAGCATAACGAAATAGACACATGCTACATTACAAAGTGTAATTTTTTATCATCATTAAAACATATCATTTTACCTTTCCACAGGCAGATAAAAACAGCTGTCAAATATCTACTCTGAAACCTCACTTTCATAGTGCACCTTAGTCCTCCTACTGTGGCAGTCCTAGAAGGTTTGCTTGTATTTTCCTCCTCACGAAAGGATAGTTGTAAAAAAATTTTGTAAATCGTCCCATGGATTGCACCTGCAGAGGTGAATCTCTGTGCCCGCTGCTGACATTCATGGGACCCTAGATAAGCAAAAGGTGGCAGCCAGGGAGGACTAACTGTAGGATCACATCTTGTTGCACTAGCTAAGCTACCAAGAGGGAGGCTTAGTTTAAAACGCCGCTGCTGCAGAGTCAAGCAACTGTTCAAAACATACGTGGCACTTAAACCTTATCACTGCACTCATAACTGCTGAACACCCTGGAAGCATCATGAAACCACAGACTTACAAAAATCTAAAGTCTTTTCGTGCAAGTCAAATGGTATTGTGCATGGTTTGGTGCTCCAAAGCACCCCTGCTGCTCTGCAGGCCTAGATGAAAGAAATATATTTCTTGGCTGGAGTTAATGGAATTTATTTAATAAATACAGGAAGAGCACAAACAAGTAAGGACACTCAACTAAATGAGCTCTTTGTTGGTTGCACATCCTGAAATTAGGAAAGAGATCTGGTACAAACAGGAAAATGTAACCAGCATTTCTCTGTTCCAAATGTTAATTTTAAAGCTGTTCCAAACATCTCCAAAGACTTCTTGAAATGACACTGGATTATTTCACACTCTCAGATTGGGTTCAGATTCATCTAAGTTTTTGCACCAAAAGCTCTCACATAAAGACAGTAAAGCCTCAGAAGGGGAGGGAGAGAGAGAGAGAAAGAGAGAGATTACTGAAGGGAAGTTATGATCCATGTGAAGAAACTCCCCGTTTATAACATTCATAAAATCTCCATGTGAAAGCCCAGTTCATAAAAGTTAATAAGCTTGACCAGAAGTCCTGTCCTGGCTCTGGAGATTGATGTGTTTGCATGACAGAACACACTGGTGTGTAAGGATAGCTAAACTGATTTGGATACCAATCTCAGTACAGCCCCATGAACACAGCATCCCAGATGAGCTAAATTACCTTGCTTAACCTTTTCAGGACATCCCTACATGAAGCTGCATCACATCTATGAAGGCATAACCTAAAATCCTCTATTTTTATGCAGAATGCTTAAAATGTGGGCTGGGAGCTCCTCTGCACTGCCTTATAAATATGCTTCAACCCTTACATGAAAGGATTTGTTCCAGGAAGAGTTTGGTGCTCTGGAATATCAAATCCTTGGCTCCTCTGTTGAAACTGCCAAAAAAGGCCCATTTGGTACCGGTTATAACGTTTGCTTTCAGAGACACTTGTCCACCAGATCCCATCCTGAAAATCCCATTTCACATTGGCAACCAAGTGAATCTGAATTAGCAGCCTGGGAACAAAAGTCTCAGCACTACCCCAGTCCTGCCACCATCTCTGCCTTAGCTTTCAGACACCACTGCGCTTAGGACATATAAAGTTGCTTCATGCTTGACCTAAGCATCAGAGCCATTCAGCCCTCAGTTGCTCTGCTAGACCCTGAAATGCTCAAGGGTCAACATTCAGATGCATCATTAGATATGAAACAAAGGTGCTTATTTTCTCTATAGAGAAACGACGCGGGAACACAGAGAACCACAGAACCTTAATTGACTGGTAATGAATGCTCATGTTTTCCTGGGGTTACTTCTCTACTGAAATGAGACAAAAGCCAGTCCAACAAAGGGTTTCCCCAGGTCAGGCTTAGCATATGAATTGGGAATCCCCAGCCCAAGCGTGTCGAGTCTAACAGTCAGATTCTATTTGTATCCCCAGGAGAAGAAGGAGAATGCTGACCCACGACAATACAAGGAAAAAAGAAATGAAGACAATCATATTTTAACCATCTGCATCTATTACGTAGCTGGACATTGCCTAAGACTACATCAGTGTGATACAATAAGCTTCCTTTTGGATGCAGTAGAAAAGGCAGCACTAAAGTCAAAGGGTCCAGCCGTGTTTGTACAACTGACATTGTTTTCTAACCTCCTCTTCTATTTCAGCTTAGTGCAGAAAAAGAGCCTGCCAGCAAGGAGACCATAGAAAGGATCACTTTCTCTCATCCCAGCTACCTGAAATGAGGCAGGAGACATGAACATGCTAGATCATCACTGGCTGAAATGCAGATCTTGCTGCAGTATTAGGACACAAGGATGATGTTACTTCATGGGTCTATGACTCCACCTGATGACAGAGACAGGGCAGCGTGGAAGGCTGCATACCACCAGTACAGAAAAAAAAAATCATTAGCAATAAGAAATTTTCCATCTTCCCGTGACTGGGAAGTTGGCTGTGCCGCTGAGCAATTCTGGCCCTTCCCTTTAGTAAGGGCACAGCAGGTGCACACCCTCAAGGTTAGCATTAGACACAGCACAGCTTTGTGATGGTTACAAGAAAAAAAAAAAACCTCAGGAGGCCTGGTGAAAGCACTCAGATGCAGCAGCCTTTGCACTCTGCCTTCCTGGTCTGCATGACTCCTCCAGTAATTTACGTACACTAAATGTTCCCTGCTCCCCTACAATGGGAGGAGCGATATAATCATACCAGCACAAATCACTGTAGCAGTGACCTGGCATAAATGCATCCTCTTAAATGAGAGCGCAACACTCAAGCCTTGAAAAATGTGTATACCTCTGCAATCAAGCTCACTGCAATACTTCTTACAGTGAGTAAGGCCTTTGCAACACTACCCTTTAGCATATGTTCTCTGGTGCATAATATCCTACCGCTTGGCCAAGGAGAGATAACTCCTCTCTTAACTTCCACAATAAAAAAAAATAACCCCACAAAACAAACAGTCAGGAAGCTTTCCAGGCTATACAACCCAAAATATCCTTCCTACTAGAGATATTTTCACACACAAACTGGTGAGTCAGTTCTAAGAGAAAGATTAAAAGGAAGGGATGTGGGTGTTTCTTCATGTGTCTCACTGGCTACAATAAAAGATATTGACAAACTGTGGGAGTTCAGAGGAGGAGCAAAAATGGTAAGGGGACAGAAGGGATTGATCTAAAATGAGAAGTAAGAGCTGAAATAATCATTTAGCCAGTAACTCCTATAACAGATGATGATACCATGTATGTGTTTGAATTTTATATAAAAATACCACGAAAGAACAAGAATTACTTAATCTTGTTTATGGAAGGATAACTCCAAAAGGGTAACAGTTTTGTACTCTAAAGTATTTAGGGTAGTGACCATCTGCTGTTCGCCTAGTGCCCGACTACTTAGGAACTTCACTGGCTGCTGTAACCAAACAAATAACTATTAAAACCGAAGAAAATCTAGGCAACAAGCTAGTGATGTGCAGGATAGCCTCCCAGGGACAGCAGCAGGAGCCCTTGTGCGTGGAATATATGAAAAATAATTACTGTTATGACCAATTCATTCAAGAATCACCTCCCGATCCACTAGCGCTGGGTCGGGATCCCGCAGCGCTAGGTTCTGTACAGCCAACAGCCCAAAAGCCAGCCGAGTCATGGGCAGCACAGACAGACACACACAATGAGGAGATATTCAGCAAGGGCTGTGGATGAATAAGCCACGTTTTGGGTTTTTTTTCCCCTGCCTCTGACATTTAAGATTCTGTGATAATACCTTATCTTGACAAAGGACTTTTAAATATTCCAGTCTGTATGGAATAGACATCCATAACTCCCAACCTGAAACTGCAGCTAGGCATAAAGCAGAATTTGTCTGCTTGAAAATCATGGTTGTATAACACATTAACACAATTTGTTTGGGAATTCCCTACAACTCTCAAACTCACAAACAGCAGTAAGACCGTACACTTAGGTAACCAAAATCCAGGTGGGGGAAGAAGAGACAGCAGGGACAGACACACACCGTGAGCCTTTATGGTCAAAAAAAACCGCAACAGCCTCGCAGGCACTGAGCAAGGTGAGCTACAAACCTGCCCATTCCTCGCACCTCCCAACAAGCAAATTGATTAATGGACCCAGACCGCTGCTGTGCCACTACAACCGCAGTTCTGCACCTCTCCTTCATTGATGCTGTCGTGCCGAGGGCGCTGGACACCAGAGCGGGCGAGTCAGTGGCAGTGACCACCGGGAAGAGGGGAGGCCTCAGCCCTTTCCCCCCCCCAGGAGGGCGCATCCCCGCGCAGGCGGAGGTCTCTGCTCCGGGGGACCGTCCCCGGGGTGCTCACACCCAGCCCCCAGCCTCCCCTGGACGGCACCGCCCCGG